GACGAGGATCATCGCGGTGAGCTACAAAATGTACACACTGGACGTTTATACTAGTCACCCGTCTCCAAGTCCACATCCTCTGCTGTTTCAAGTGCACGCAAAGCCGCAGGATAACCACCATTGTCGTCCAGTGCTGCGAAGTGTGCCGCAATTGAGGTCAACACCATCCGCGTGCCGCTCTGAGTCCTCCAAGCCATTCGACCCGCTAGTTCCGCAACTGGAAGCATTGATGACCCACCTAGCAGCTCTGTCGTAGACCTTGGGTTGTGACCCCCAATGACCAGCTGACTACACCTCATCCGGAAAAGCCTCTTGAGATAGTTACCCATGTTCACAGCAATATCTCAACTGAACGAGTCTGAAGTCAGGCGACGGGTTGATGGAACCATAGGGCCCACCAGAGCCGATTGTGTGCCCGCACTCAATGTAGCAGATGTCGTGATCGGGGTTCAGTGGAGTGTGCTTAAGCCTTTACCATTCCCCAAGGTCTGCACTGATATATGTTATTAGGACAACGAAGGACTCACCCATGCACGGAGTAACCGCACTGAACCAGCCCTACAACATATTGCTCAAGATTCGAGATATACCATGATGCACTCAGGGTATTTTTTTCTTTTTTTAATTAAAGAAAGAAAGAAATTATTTGACACAATTTCCGTTCAATCTCGATAAAATAGCTCCCCCAATGCCAGACTCAGTCCAATTCCTCTAGCAGGGCGCGCGCGACCATCCGCCTCATGTACCGGCGGTCCGTCTCCTCGTCGCGCTCGTGTCGCCCACGGCCGTCGAATTCATGCTCGTGGAAGTGTTCATAGCCGTCATGCCGCCCACCTTGCTCGTAGTGCACGATGTCGTAGTCTCGTCGTGCTGCTAGCTCCTCGCGCCTGTAGGACCTGGGGCGAGGATGGCCGGGACGAGGTGGGAGCGGCTTGTTAATTTGTGGCGGGTAGTTCAGCCTGATTTCTGCCTCTGAGAGGACAATAGCTCTATGTGCCGATGTGGTCAGAACTTCCTCACCCGGACACTCACGCAGCAGGCGGACACTCACTGGACGGCGGGGGCGACAAGAAGCGCGCTAGCAAGAACGAAGACTGTGGACAGACGCATGCTGATCGTGCGATAGTCGTAAAATAGCAATGAACGTCGAAGTGATGGCGAAACAGAAAAAAGCCAAGCTATATTGAGCGGTCACTAGCTGCATGGAGCAGGAAGGGAGGGGCGACACTCACTATCCTGCACTTGGGCTTAGAAACTGAAGGATGGGCTCACACAGGTCAACTGGGGGCTGGAGGGATATCATTGAATCGGCTCTTCTTTTATAGTACGTGGCACAGAGTTTAAGAAATCTCAGTGTTCATGGCGACTGACGCGAGGGTAAATTTTTATTCGATAAAAACGTAGTCAGAATGTGCGGTATGACAAGGTAAGTCGAGTGAATGCCTTTGTTTAGGTGTCTATATCTTTAATCAATCTCATTATCCACTTTGCTTATTATGTTGTACTGCAGATCAACAATCTCGATTGGCGCAGCGTTCCAATGCTCCATCACACCCTCAAACTTGATTCGTGACCCTGATTACACTAACATGCCCTTCGCACTACTTCTTGCTAGTGCGCGTAGGGCATCTGAGATCTTACTATTGACTGGACATTCCAAGACCGCATGCCCATGTGCAATCAGAATATGCAGTTTCAAAGAGGCAACCGGTTTCGAGGGAGACAAGGGCTCTGAGTATTCTCCACACCGTCAAAATCTGCTGAATCACTACTTAGTAGTTACCCGGATGGTGTGGCAACCAGCAAGGAATGTAAGATTTTAACACCAACCTTCACTACTCAAATATCCAAGATATACCATGGTGCACCGTGCAGAGCGCTCTCCGTGGCAAAAACAGCGGCAAGCGGCGATTTTTTGATAGGTGAGCGCCACGATCAGAGTCGTCATGAGCCGTTTACGCCGCATCACTTCGAAGCTTCAAACGCAATCGCGCGTATCTTCGGTGGACATCAATTCGGACGGTCCGCATCAGTTTGAAGCTTGGTGCGACATCGCGCGTATCTACAACCTCAGCGAGTCGCACTTGGCGGTCTAGGCGGACATCGATTCGGACGGTCCGCATCATTTTGAAGCTTCATGCGACATCGCGCGTAAGTATCCACGGCCTCAGCGAGCCCCACTCGGAATTCCACATGGACATCGATTCGGACGGTCACGCATCTGCAAGTGCACTGTTGACCTTGGGCAGTAAGCTCGCTCATTGTTCTGGTAAGCACTTTTGATTAGGACAGCAGTAATAAGTGGCCACTTTCCTGGGCATGGCGTCCCAGGTATCAACTCGACTTGAAGGCTCAAATGATGCGTTGTGTTACAGTTGACTACTTCTGATGACTTCCCATCTCGACTCTCTGGCAAATTTCGAACCAATTGAAGCGTCGGGAAGGTATCCATTCACCCGTGTTTGCAGGCAGACGTGAAGCCTTGAGGCCTTTGGCGATTCGGCAAATTCGGTGCGTTGTGTTTACTTTCAAGTCGCAGTTTGTACTGTTCTATCGCCAGAATGCGAGAAAAAGTATCTGCGCTGGTGGTGATGGACAACTATGGGCATGAATAGATGTGCTCAGATAATATACCTATGGTCTAAGATCAGTCTATGTCCCAAGCATATCTACATCTGTACGTCACCTTACTTTATAAGCTGCCTGTTTGGGTAGAAATTCATTCTCGCACTTTGCTGATGTCAAAATCTGCCAGCCACTCTGTGTACACAATGATAGCACATAGCATCCAATGCTGCTGGTCGCCGACTCACTCCCGTAGGCGCTGCACACCACACTGGTCTAGAACGGATCTCTTGCCGCACAGGTGCAGTGGGAACGTGCGTGAGAGGACGCCGCTTGAGGTTGTTCCCCCTCGGACCTCCGAACGAGTGGCGATTTCGCCTGGCCAAGTGCGATGTGGTCACGGATTCTGGCCTCAGGTCCTGATGGCCGCGTGCGAACCTCTCTTTGGCGCGCCCCCCCATGACGTATGCGCTCGATTGATGTCATCCTGCGTGGTCGATCACAATCCAGGTGCTAAACCGTGCCTATAAAGTGCTCGCCGCACGAGAGCCCTCGCGTTCTCTCTCCTCGCCACGCCAACCCGCGACCGCCCACAGCGCCGCGTCGGCCGTCGACCGTCGACTGTATGCGCTGCGCGTCTGGCTCGGGTGGACCTGCGCTGCGCTGAAAGTGTGAGTGCCGATCGTCCGTTTCCCCCCAATCATGACCGAAGCATTCACAATTTCGTCGCAGGTGGTTCTCGCTCGCCTCCGGTCCTCTTCGCCGAACTGAGCTAGAGCATCGCTGCTGCGTCACAGACCCCGCAGCACACAGGCCGGCACCAGCGATGGGCGCCAGGATGCGGTACTAGTGTCGGTCAGGCTAGAGGCGTCTGGTTCATTGCGACCCAAGTCCACGCTGGTTCTACAGGTCAACTACACTAGGCACGATAGCAGGACCGAGAGTTATGGGTTGGACTGGGGGACTCTTGGCTTGTCGTCTTCAATCTCGTGACTCGGCCCTGCAGCGTCTGCCGCTTGCCGCGCGCCTCGTACAGCGTGTACATCACAACCTGACGAGGACAGTGATGATGCCGCAAAGGCTAGGGTGTCATTGGCAGATGGGGCGAAGCGAGCTGGCGCCAGGCGGGTGCGTCATTTTGCGCATACATGGCACTGTGCTGATTCCCACAGCGGTAGAGTCGATGCCTTACGCTCGACACGTTGCATCTTTCCGCGCACGTTGTCTCCCACCATATCGCAGGACACTGCCTAGAAGCCCCCGAGGGCCTGTTGGATTGCCCAGACCGCCTGCCCTCGTTCACACGTCTAGGCTGCCGAAGCTTCGGGCAGGGATGGTATGTCATGCAATCTGTGATGTCACCGGTACACATCTTTGACCTTGCACACGCGAGTGCAGGACGAATCTGGTCTGACATAACCCGCGTTCATTTACAGGAACAAGTGTCGTTGGTCCTCCGCTAGTCTCCCGTGCACCCGCACCAGACCTCGTCCGTCATACCACTCTCCGGCTGGCTCAGAGTGTCAGTGCCGGGCATGCGTCCTAGGCCCATCAAGCTCGTCAGAATTTAATTTCGCCCGAGATAAGATCGGTCGACACCTCTCGCTCCTTAGCGACGAGTGCGCATCGGGGCACTTTGGCGGGACAATGGGATGCTTCAGCGCCGTTTCTGGAATTCGACTCGTTCCGGTGGCTCAGGGCTCTGGGGGTCTTGTTTCCCGGGATGTGTCAACAGTAGCGCCACTTGACATTTTGGTGTGCGTATGCTCAGTCCGAGTTGCGTCGGTAGCTAATCGGTGTTCACAGAGGAAGGTAGGTTCGTGTCGAAGCTGGCATTGTTTTCCCGCACATTTGCCGCGGCGGGAGGACTTGAGGGGGCGTAACTGTTGGTAGCTGACCGGTCTCCCCGCGTGGCGCATCCCTGATCTGTGTTTTGTCGCCATTCAGATCCCTGTCTACTGGTTCTTCCGCTGACCGAGGCTCTCATCTTGCGCTCCTCTGATCCAGGAGTCTGGTTCTCTTTGTCTGCACTGCTTCGGGTCCAATATGTTATGGTTCGCGCGCACCTTCTAGGTTAGCTGATTATTCACTTTCCTACGAACACCCTGATAGCCATTGCACCCTGTAGGCGTGTAGGCGATCTGTCGACTCACGTCCTAATGGCTATAGCTTGCAGTTTTTTTTTCCCTTGTCGCTATGATTTCTCAATGGCCAGGTACATCTGAATGGTGCCTCCAGGTACTTGCTCGGCCGACATCTGTCCTCTGCGGCGGCCCTCTTGGAACCTGACCTCGTCTCCGTTGCACGCACCCCTTGGCTGCTATCCGAACCCCTTGGCAACCTCATGGCTGGCAGACCCTGTTCCGACTTCTCGTCCAGCCTCGTCCAGCCTTCGCGAAGCGCGCGGGAGGCCCAGACCCCTGCGCGACGGCGAAGCGCCGATCCCATCTAGCTTCGCGCCCGCGCGCGTTCCTGCGCAAAGTTGCGACTTGTCGGCGCCTCTCCGCGAGCGAGCTGGAGCCTGCACGTCCGCGGAGCCCTCGGGGACCGACGTGCTCCATGCTCTCCGCGGCCGGCGCTGCTGCTGGCCTCGCGAGCCTGTCACAAGGCGCGGCGATCCCTCCTCACGTCCGATCTAGCAGCGGCCAGACCCCAGATCAGTACCACTCGTCTCTCTGCGCCTGACTGGGCACCAGGGCCCGCAGCGTGCACCCCCGGCCTGTCGAGGCAGCGCAGGGCGTCGAGGTAGCCCTGGGGCCTGCAGGCCTGATGTCATGCTGTAACGCGCGCGCTCTGCGGCCCTGAGAGTGGCTGCAGCCCACGATCAATCCCCCTCCCCCCCTCCCCGGCGCGCGCCAGATTGGCATCTGCACCATCGGCATCGGTATCGGCATCGGTATCGGTATCGGTATCTGCATCTGCGGCACTGCTCCCGCCGCGTGCGTCTGTGCCACGCGAGCGGCGGACCCTGGCGCTGGAGGATCGGCTCTGGGTCTCTGGCTGCGGCGGTCCGCCCGGGCGACTGCGGCCTCTTCCCCCCCCGCCGGGCGCAGCTGCA